TGATTAAGTGTAACCCCAGGTAAGAGACTCCTAAGTGCTGCTGTCATTTCTAAGAACATGTTAGTACTGGTGCATGTTGCAGGATAGATTTGCTTCATAAAAATAAAATTTTCCCATGGCGGCAGAGGCAAGTTTCTTTTGTATATTGTGCTTAAAATGAAAAAAAAAAAAAAAAAAGAGTTGAAGCTAAACTGCATTTGCACAAGGATATTTGAAAAGAAGTGTTTTGTTAGGCTGCTAGACAGACATGATTCAATTTTGTCATGAACACAAGGGCTGCCCAGCATCCTTGGCATCTAGGAATAAAAGTTGGCCTCTCCCCTTCCTTTCTGAGCTTCTTCAGATGCTTTGTTATGTTAAACAGTGCAAATAATGACAGACTTTCTCCTGCTGCTTAAATTTACCTTTTTGTTTGCCTTCAACTTTAATTTATTCTTTCAAGTCTGTGCCCAAAGTACAAAGATGGGGAAATTAATAACGAGATTTAGAGGTTGCCTGGGTAAAAGATTGGTGGTTTTGCCTCAAAATCCAGCAGAGCATTGCTCTGAACTGATCTCATGTGTGCTGGTGTAGGTTAGTCAAGTCCAAGTAAGGAGAAACCAGATCCTCCCGTGCTGTGCCTTGTCTGCATATGGACTTGTTTAGGGAGCTTTGCCAAAGCAAAGCTGCAACCCAGCTTTTCAAACTGGTCAGCATTGATCACCAATATTCTGCTTAAACCAATAGAAGCTGCTTTTCTTCCTCTGCATTTTGTGATATTTCTTTGTAAGGCTCTCTATCTCTTTATGTTTTGCGACTTTGCCTAGAAAATTATTGAGGAGCTGCCCATTTCCTGTAGCTGTTTGTATTGCATCTGTATTTTCCTCCTAGAGCCACCTGTTTTCTCCTTTTGTTATTCCATTTAGGACACAAACCATTAAATCCATCTTGGATTTGCCCTACTTAATGCAAAGGAAGAATTTAACACCTTCAGAGGAACCCAGCATATTGCAGAATTACATTTTCCCTTTCCTCTACCAGTAAGGTTGAAGTTTAGTAGTTTACTGAACATTTTTGAAATCCAAAAAAACTGAGAAACTAGAAGTTATTTCTCTTTTCCTTTGCAACTTGCTATTTCAGCTGGTGCATCTTATGCTGCTGCTGAGTTTGGAAGAGATTTACACTAAAAAAGTGCAATGTTGAGGTTTCTGCTTTATCCTGTGTTTTGGCAGTGACCTGCTTCATTTGGTGCCATTTTTCTAAGCTACCTGTGTCCAAAGCATGCTTTGGAAAAACCTTAGAGTATCTGATGAAGTCACAGGACTGTTTTAGTGTAAGCTCCATCTAAGTGCTGCTGCAGTCTCACCTTCCACGTGGTGTGATCCTGGGCATCCTCACTAACTAGGGAGTTAAACTCACCGAGGACTGTTTCCTGACATGTTTTCTGTCCTTGCATGTGTCTTGCTGAAGGCTTAAATAAGGAATGTTGCCAGGCATGTGTAAGTTTGCAAGGCTGAAGGAAAAGGGGGAAATGCAGAATTAAAGCAGTTCTGAGTTCAGCTGTCATGGTGAGACTCGGGTCCCACACCCCATCAGAGAACCACGGCTCTGGCTCTCACTGCTGTTCTCTGCAGTGCCCTGTGTGATTCCTGACCTGGCCATGCCTTCCCCTCTGGCTGCAACGTGCTGCAGCTCCTGGGATCAGCACTGGGCTCCCTGGTGGCTGCAGAACACACTTGCCTGCCTGGCTGCCTGCCTGCAGCACAGGCTGGGCCTTTTTCTCACTGGCAGGTTCAGCTGCAAAGTTCTTGTGTTTTGCTTGCCTGATTGAGATAAATTATACAGACAGTGCTTGGGGAATTCAGGATTGAGTTGGGGAGGTAGAGAGGGGGTGAAAAATTAGAAATGGAAGGATGGTCTGGAAGCAGATCTGTCTTGTGGTGGATTGGAGGTGGGGAGATGGGAGCTTGCTTGTCTGGGGAGGACCCTGGTTCTTAGCTGTGCATGGGAAAAGGAATTTTGTCTGAGTTCACTGATGGGAAAAGATGTTCTAGAGGGGAAATATTTTAACCGTTGATATGCTTAAAAGGGGAAGTTACTGTACAGTATTGAAACACTGGCATTTCCTAAGGGTATATCCAGTTTCCAGGCTTGGAGAAAACACTGACCCAGATTCCTGGGAGAAAAACTATCTGGTGAGAAGCAGTTGGGAGATACTGCCTGTGAGTTTAATCACAGAATCATGGAAGGGTTTGGGTTGGAAGAGACCTTAAAGCCCATCCAGTCCCACCCCCTGCCATGGGCAGAGACACATTCCATTAAGCCAGGGTGCTCCAAGCCTCATCCAGCCTGGCCTTGGGACACTATTCCAGGGCCCCAACACCCTCACAGAGAATTCCTTCCCAATATCCCATCTAACCCTGCACACTGGCAGTGTGAAGCCATTCCCCCTCATCCTGGCACTCCAGCCCCTTTTAAAAGGTCCCACTTCAGCCTTTTTGAGGAACTTCCTGAAATTGGTGACCCACAAACACTGGAATCACAGAGGATCTGCTGGTAAAGTGTCACTGTGCTTTGAATCCTTCCCTAAGCAGTTTCTTTAGCTCCCCGATGGGAGCAGGACTCTGAGCCAGACAATCTTCTGCCTTTTTTTTAGGAATTCAGAGTTGTAGTACAAAACCTGTGGAATTATTTCTCTATGCCAGTGTTGAAGCATAGTATTTTGAACACAACATTTGATTCTCATGCAGCTCTTAGATTTTGCTTGTGAAGTTCATATAATTAGTGTCTCCTATTAGTGTGGAGTTTTTTCTGGCAGTACAGGCACAAAACATTAGTGTCCTATAAAATGAAATTACTCAGTGTTGTACCACTATTAGAGGTTTGATTTTCTGTAGGGTAACTTGGTTTTGTACATGTTTGGATGATACTGCACATCAAATACTTCTGACAGCTTCAGTTAGGATTGCATTTTATATTACTTTTATGAATGCTTATTGCTTTTTGCAATAGGCAGTTTTATTGCTGTGTAACCATTTGATTACAATGACTAGTTTCTCTACAATGTTTCTATTAAATCAAGGATTATCATCCTAAAATTCTGAAATGTTTCTGTGAATCTCTGGTTGCTGGGCCATTTATCAACAAGAGAAGCTTTTCTTTATTCCAGAGGCAGCTTCCTTGTTCCAGCTGCATTGTTTCACATTGTTTCCCTAATTTTTAAAATTATTTGTACTTAATGGTGTTCATTTGAATGAAGGTTCTGCCTTTAAACCTTCCCATCTTGACTGGATCTAATGCCAAGTGTCTGATGGTTGTGAGCTCTTCACACTCCTGTGTTTGCTCACTCTGAGTTGGGTTTCATGTATAAACATGTAGACATGTAAGAATGATCCAGGCAGGGATTTTTTGAAGTTTGCTGTTGCTTTTATGTGTTTTCAAAATTTAGGTTTTTTTTTCTGGGGCTGTGTGGACTTCCCCCTCCTCCCTCTTTTGCTGGTGGATATGTTTTTGCATTTCCCATTTATTTTTAAGTGGAAATAGGGACTATGTGTACAAGGACTGTCTCGGGCTGTTTACATTAAACACTTAGAGCAGCACCTGCATCTTTTTCTGCTCAACATCTCATGTGAGATAATTTCTCCCTGGGATTACTCCATTAGCTTGATTCCTTTCATGCATCCAGTCTTGGGGGTTTTCCCCATTGCCATCCCTAGTACCTGTGATTAAGCTGTGGGGTTTTGGTTAAGTTTTGGGACCCTGATGAGCCAGCAGGGAATAAAAGTGGTTAACAGCAACAAGAATGAAGAGGAATGTTTTGTCTGCTCTTTTGTACCTTGTGGAAACAAGGTGGATTAAATCAAGCTCTGAAATAAGAGAAAATATCACTTTGTTACTGATCTGTACCCAGTTTTTGCATTGAAGAGGAGGAAGTACTTCTCTTGAGCTGATGCTCCCTTTCTTCAAATGCAGCTTATCTATACAGTTAAATGGTTAGCTTCCTTCCACTATCCTAGGTTCCTCCAAACCCCATCCAACCTGGCCTGGAACACTTCCAGGGCTGGGGCAGCCACAGCTTCTCTGGACACCCTGTGCCAGGGCCTCAGCACCCTCACAGGGGAAGAGTTTCTTCCTAATATCCCATCTAAATCTCTCCTCTTCTGGTTTTAAACCATTTCCCCTCATCCTGTCACTATCTCACTTTGAAAAATGTCTTCCTGTTTTTTAAAAACCCCCTTTAGGTCCTGGCAGGCCATGAGGAGGCATCCCAGAATCTGCTATCTCCATTCCCATTTGTACTGTGACTGATTTGAGCTCTGTTCTCTCAGTGTGGAATTTTCAATGTCTGATTTACCCCATTGTTCTCCTGGCATGTCCAAGAGCCTCGATAGCATTTAAGTGGGAGCACCAGAGGATGAGCTGTATGAGACAAGGCCAAATGGTACTGACTGAAATCCAGTGTGGTTTTGTCTGAGGATATGGAGCTGGGATTAATTTTACCCCTGCAGGGAAGCAGTGCTTACCCTGCCACTAATTGCTGCAGGTCCTGCCCTGTGTTCAGCGTGACCCTGGATCCTGTGCCACAAAAAGTAACAGCAGCTGCAGTGTTTATAATATCAGAGGCTGTGTCTTACAGGGGAAAATGCACCTTAGTGGCCTGACATGAATACTTTTGTGGGGTTTTCAGGTCTCTAGGTGTACTTAAATGTTCAGAGAGCAAAGGGTTAACACAAAATGTTGGTATTGCTGGGTGTACAAATGTCACCTCTCACTCTCTATGAGGAGGACCAGTTTTTTACACAAGCAGACAGTGATTGGACAAGGGGGAATGGCTTTAAACTGTAAAAGAGGGATTTACATTAGATATTAGGAAGAAAATGTTCCCTGTGAGGGTGGTTAGGCCTGGCATAGGTTGCCCAGAGAAGCTGTGGCTGCCCATGGATCCCTGGAAGTGTTCAAGGCCAGGTTGGACAGGGCTTGGAACAACCTGCAATAGTGGAAGGTGTCCCTGCCCATGGCAGGGGCTTTAAATCCAAACCATTCTGTGATTCTGTGATCTAATTACCTTGAAACTAATTCCATACTTCCTAGGTGTTTTGGGCTCAAGAAATGAGCTATTCCAGAAGGAATTACCTGTGATTAACTGATTGATAATCTGGAGCAGTTTGGTTTGAGTGAACACGGTTGTAAATAAAATGAATGTATCTGAGTGACTCCCAGAAGCAGAATAGGGGATGTTCAGGAGAGCCTGTAATAACTCTCCTGGATGTTTGTATGAAAAGTTGTTTTTCCTTCCATTACATTCCAGCTTTTACCTGTTTCTTAGGCTGTGGCACCTCTCTGAAGTGATTGCTCTGTAAGGCTTTGGAGCCCTCTGTGAGAGCTGCTGGCTGTGAGCCTTGGTCTCCAAACCTACCTTGGAATTTAGGGACTGGAGGAAGTTGTTTGCTTAAACATGCAGATATAAGTGGAGCTGGTGGTCCTGAAAGTTGCTTGTTCCAATGTCTTTGGTCCTGTTCTTTTCTGTCTTACTCTTTCTTCTTACAGGTCTGGATGCAGAGTTGTCTTACGTGAGGAATGATGTGGTTAATCACTATGCCTTGTCCTTCAATCTCCTAATACCCAGCGAGACCAACAATCTCCACTTCACCTGGCATGCCAAATCCAAGGTGAGCAGGCATGACTTCTGCTCCGGGTACTTGAGACATGAGCTGTTCTGCTTGGTGAATACCCACTGCTATAATTTAATGGCTTTTTTCTTTGAAAAAAATAGCATATGCAAGGTGCAAAATACTTGTATGACTGCAGGCAATAAGTTAAGATGGCGTATGTCCAAGCTGTTCCTTATTTTAGAAAGTTGAAGCACTTATTTCAAAGCATTTTATACTTCTTGCTCCTGGCAAGGTCCATGTATGCATACAAGCCACTGGCTGTGGAATCTCTTCCCTTGGTGCATTGGACACACAGAAGGGCAGCCATGAGCTGAAGCCTCTGGAAATGATATGTAGAGCAATTGTTGTAGAGATTTCTAGAAACATATGCTTGGAGACAAGAAGAGTCTATAAAAGCAGCATCCAGTATGTTTTTACTGAGCCCTGATTAAATGGAAAGGCTTTTTATGTCACTTAATCACTGTGCCTGGAGCATGCAGCAGCAGCTGTCAGAGAGATTGCATATGCTCTTACATTCTGAAGCATTTCCAGTTACTTAACAATTTATTTTCATATATGAAATGATCTGTTTAGTCTCTGCCAGATGTTCATTCTGTTCTTAAATGATGGTTGTTCCTCTCCCCTTAAGCAGGAAAGGCTGCAAGCAGGAGCAGTAGTATTAAACAGCTCCACTAGTGCAAGTCCTGAAGATTCCTCCTGCCATTGTTCTTCCCTTTGAGGTGTAACTTGTTAAGAGGAGTGACTTTTGGCCTGCAGTGGAGTTGGGTCGAGTGCCAGCCAGCCCTGATCCCATATTCCACATGCACAGTGGCAGTTCAGTCACTTGTCATTTGAGAGGAGTTCCCTTGTCACAGCTTCAGCTGAGGCTCCCTGCATCACTGGCCCTGTCCTGTATTTCCTTGGGCCTGACTGAATTTTGAGGAGGAATTTTGGAGCTTGTGTAGCCCTGCTTCCCATTCCTGGGGTTCCACCCCTCGGCATCTTCCACTCTAAGTTGGTGTGGTGTGACTTGGAGGAGCTCAGGTTGTGTCTCTTCCCTTGGCATCTTGACTGAAAAATAAATTGATAACAGAAATGAACCATATTATGTTTTAAAAAGGGGGAAAAAACTAACTATTTGGACAAAGTCAAACAAATGAATTCAGCTGAGAGTGGAGAGGGAGGATGAATTTCCAAGAGGAGCTTATGACTTAGAGTATATAGTGTACTTTTTCTTGAGTGAATGTTTGCAGAGTCAGCTTCTTAAGTGGAAACAAAGTCTTGACTACAGTTGACTAAACTATTTCTAAGCAATTTTGTTTGTAAAACTGACTGTGGGAGGGGAAATTTTTTGAATTTTAGCAGCTTAAACAAAGTGACTTTTGAACAAGTAAGTTTAAACATATCATTGAGTGAGGTTTGTGAGGGATTTTTTTTTTTTTTTTTTAATTCAAGCACTCTGAATTCTGCCCCAGATTTTAAGGAATGATTTTGAGAGTAGCTTCTGTTTTGGCTTTCTTAATTTGAACTGTCACAGAAGTCTTGATACTAAAATGTCACATAAGAAACTTGGACTATGAATGCCTAAAATTACCAGCACTCCTTGAAAATAATGTATGTGTTTTTATTGTCAAGAATTATGAAAAGGGATGTTTTATTTCCTTACACTCCTAGACAGATTATTGATGTGTTTTCTGTCTTCCAACTGTTGTTACAGGTTGAGTATAAACTGGGATTTCAGGTCCATGATCCCATGGCTATGGCCCTGCCCCAGGCCAACATTTCTCTACAAGGAGAAGTTCCTCGCACCCTCTCAGGTAAACTCCCCACCCCCATCCAGCTCATGGATGAATAATGGTCATTTAGCCACAAATGCAGTTCTAGTGACCTGTGAACACTTAATAAAATTGACAAAAATTAATTTAAAATCCATGTCCTTTAATGCTCTGATGGCTGAAGTGATGAGGCGTGAAGACTAAAATAGCATTTCATACTATCGAGTTCTTTATAATGTGACAATTTATGATGTTTACAATGTACTTCATAAACATAATCTCAAAAAAAGATTGAAATGTTCTCTCATCTCAGAGTCTGAGGATGTCCCACTCCCCTGTAACCCCTGTGTTGTGTTCACAGTGTTCCGTGTCGAACTCTCCTGCACCGGCAGACTCGACTCCGACGTCACAATCCTGATGCAGCTCAACTTAACAATAAATTCCTCAAAAAACATCACAGTTTTAAATTTCAAACGAAGGAAAATGTGCTACAAAAGTAAGAGATTAAGTTTCAGATGTTTTAAAGCTTTTACTGTTTAAGTATGCTAGGAAAAGGGAGTAGGATGGTGTATGATCCAGGACAGGAGTAACAGAGTGAGTTTTGGGGAGGATTGGAAGAAACCAGGTAAAATTCTGCCTTTCAGAGAGGAATGAGGACTTTTGGTTGAAGCAGAAGCTGGTGAATGAACAACTTTCCCCAAGAGTTCCACTGCACTGACTGACCTTTTAATAGATATGTAACAAAAACTATTTTCTCTCTGTTTGGAAAGAGGAAATCAGTACCCTCAAAATTGCCTCATTCTGAGAATTCAAATTGTTCTAAAAATTAGCAATAAAATCTACTTAGTTTGTAAATTGTGATAAAAATGGCTGTTTAGTGATTGTAGGAGGTGTTAGTCTGTTAGATGTGAAGTACAAAATGATCTTTGGAGATAATCCAGATTTTGGAAATCCTAAATTGACTCTTCTGTGTTACCACTTGGGAATCTGCAAGTATAATTTATTCTTGGATTGTTCCTGTTTACTGTTGCTGCTACCTAGAATTTTCCTAGGATTTTCTAGTATTTTCATAGGCATCAGAATAAGATTCTTTTGGAGAATCCCAAGAGCTGTGCCCTCCTTAAAAATGCCACTCCTAGGCAGTATTTGTGGATTGCCACCTACTCTTTGCATGCTCCTCCTGCCTCTGTCCAGCTTACCTGGAGCCTTTGAGGGTGGTAGCTGTCTTTCCAAAGAGGGGTTTATCACTTTTCTTGAGTATAAATATCAAAGGATGAGCTCAGGGAAGGTGTGTGTGGAAGAGCCAGCCATGCCTTGTAGCACATAACATTGGGATACTCTATTCCTTGCATCAGGCTTCAGGAAGACCACTCTTAATTCAAAGTGTGTATCTCCTTCTAGTAAAATGGAGGTCTGACTGATAATGTTGATGTTTTCACCTTTATTTCATGTTTTCCTGTATTTTGTCAAATACTCCAAGTGGGGGAAGTCAGCCCTGCTAAGCCATTCACAGCTTACTGAGCTGTGGATGTGGGATGGAGCTTTCCAGAAGCACCACACAGTTCACTGTGGGGTGAGACAGAGCCACTGCCTCAACCATCAGAAGTGGTGCATACAGAGATCTCACTTCTGCAGGCTCATAAAAACAAAAAATGGTTTTGTTTGGTGCGTGTTGATGGGTGTAGAGCATACGGGGTTTCTGATTGAATTTAATGCATAAATTAGGAATATGCAGGAACTTGCTAGTGGTTTTGCTCAGGGCATTCCTGACAGTTCCTCCTCAAGTTCAAAAAAGGAGGATAAAAAAGAAAAACTCTGATTTTTTCCCTTCCTTGGATTACTTTTTCCTAAGCTGCACAGGCTTAACAAGGAGTGGGAAGGGGCTGTGCTGCGTTGGACACAACTGAGGGCAGGAAGGGGGGGGTGCAAGTGGGACTGTGCCTGTGCAGCTGCAGAAATCCATGGGAATCCCTCAGCTGCCTGCAGATCCTCGGGGTGGGGAGGGGGGGTTAATCTGGAGGCATCTCCTGCATTCATTCCCCAGGTTTGCACTGCTCCTCTTGGTAATGAGACTCAGAGTATGCTAAATGAAGATTTACCCACTTTGTAAAGGACTGCTACTCACATGAACTGTGTTGTCCTCCTGCCTTCTGATTTGCATATTTATGAGTATTTAAATGGACATCGCCTCTTCCATCCTTCCCTTTTAATTCTGTGACTCCTGCCTGGCATCAGCTGAGAAGGCACAATGCCTGTGGTTGCATCTCTGACCACTCCCTAGGATGAGCAACATTAGACTGGAGCCAGGGTTTCCTCCAAATGATCAGGGTAGTCTTGACTGAACATCCCAGCAATGATTTTCTCTCCTGTAGGAACTGATTCTGTGAGGTCTTTGTTTAGTGCCTTAGCAAACACATTCTCTGCACCTCTTCTTTCTGCTGTTTTGGGCCTTGGACAAGCTGCAGGGTTTTACAAGGATTCAGTGGGTTCAAGCTTTGCCTCCCTGGACATGTGTGTCAGTGGTGAAATACCTGACCTGTGTGTTTCAGTGTGATTTTAATTCTACCTGGTTAGGTATTTAAATGGAAATTTAGGGATTGCTGTAGTCCTTGAATCAGCTCTTCTTTTTGGAAAAGCAGGTCTGTTTTTGCATACTTGAGGCAATGTGAAGGGCTGCAATAATAAATGTACTCCAAACTTAATGGCTTTCTCTCATCTCTTTAGAGCTTGAACCAGAAGTCAAATCTCCAACAGCTGATAAAAACAGCAGCAAGGCTATCTGTAAGTAATCTTGAATGTACAACTTGGGGTTTAAAAACTGAATAACTTTTTATGTGCTTTGATTCCACAGCTTTCCCTATGAAAACAGTCCCCAGGTAGTCTGTACTATACCCAGTGTTGGAGTGGGTTTTTGTTAATTAATTGTTTTAACTGGTGAAGAGGAAAAAACCCTATTCCAAGTCTTGTAACAACTTTTGTATCACATCTTAGGGGCTCTGGTTTCTGTACATGACTCTGATCTATTTTCTTGACCTTAGGATCTGTCTGGTTTGCTGTTTCAATTTATCACTATTGAAGGAATAGAATGAGGTAGTTTCCTTCCACCTCTTCTAGCTGGAAATATCGTTGGCTGACTATGGCTCCATAATACCCAGAACAGAAGTATTTTTGCCAAAATGCTGTTGGAAAGCAGTGGGAAAGAGTGCTCAGTGCTCTCTTTACCTCCCACTGTCTCTTTCCAAGGTAGTTGTTCTCCAGGATACCCTATAGAACATTTGGGGTGGCTGAGGCTGCTGCCTCTCCCTGCCTCCAGCCCCTCTGCTTGTGTTGCCATAACTAACAAAATGTTGTTTCTTGGGGGTTTTGTTTGGGGTTTTTTTGTTGATTTTTCTCCTTTCTGAGCAGGGTTCAGTAACTTTCCACATCTGTTGCAGTCGATCCTGTAAATGCTGCTCCCACCACTTCGACCCGTGTGTTCTATATCAGTGTGGGTGTGTGCTGTGCTGTGATATTCCTGGTGGCAATAATCCTGGCTGTCTTGCACCTCCACAGCATGAAAAGGATAGAGTTGGATGACAGGTATGTGTTCAAGCTTTCCCAGTGTGGTTTTGGGACATATCTACTCAGATTAGTGGGAGTTCAGTCTCAAAATGAGCACTCTGTGGTAGTTTGCAATTTCTGCTCTCAGTGGCAAGCTGTAGTAGATATTGCCTGTGTGGGGTTGAGGTGAGAGCTGTGCTGCGGATAGGCAGCAGTTGCAGGTGCTCTGCTGCTTATGAGGTGGAAGGGTTGTTCAGGTTTTCCCAGAATATTTGTGTAGAGTGGAAAGATTCAGACAAAATCAGATCTGCAAAGATTGTCAGGATTGAAGGAAAAATTGACTTGGGCACACTGGAAAGGCAGCCTGGGAGAGCTGGGGGTGTTCATACTGGAGAGAAGGCTCCAGGGAGACCTTAAAGCCCCTTTCAGTGCCTAAAGGGGCTCCTGGACAAGGGCCTGGAATGCCAAGACAAGGAGGAATGGCTTTCCACTGCCAGAGAGTTTTGACCTTTATTTTACTTTAGATGGGATATTGGGAAGAAATTCTTCCCTGGGAGGGAGGTGCCCAGAGAAGCTGTGGCTGCCCCTGGATCCCTGGAAGTGTCCAAGGCCAGGTTGGACAGGGCTTGGAGCAACCTGGGCTAGTGGAAGGTGTCTCTGCTCATGGCAGGGGGTGGGATTGGATGAGCTTTAAGGTCCCCTCCCACACAAATAATTCCATACTTTTGCATGGTGGTTTTTTTAGAATGAAAACACTTGGGTTTTACTGACACCTGCAGGAGAATGAATTTCAGTTTTCCCTACTTTGATTGATTTTCCAGTATTCAGTTCAGCCTTAGGATATAGTCTGAACATTACAACTGCTTGGTTATAAAACTGGCAGTGTTGGGCTCTCTCAAATACATTTCCAATCCAGAAGAAACGTAGCACATGCATGGAAAATGGAGTTGTAACGTGAGTCCAAGGGCATTGGAGTGGGGATTAAACACTGAGGAGAAGGGAGGCTGGAAAAGCAGGTGGACTGAGGCTGTGTGAACAGCCTGCATCAGATGCAACTGTTCAGGAGCAGGCTGTGTGAAACTGGATCCTTTGGAAAACAGCTTGTGGGTGGTCACCCCTGTGAAAGGATATCTTGAACTAAAGGATGTCTTGAACTGCTTCTGTGCTGCCTGCAGCCTTGTGGAGTAGCTTTATCTTTTTCATCCTCCTTTTCATCCATTCATCTGTTCCTTTCAGTTTTCTCCCTGCCATTCCCTCTCCTGGTGTCCCCAGCCCATGTGGCTTTGGCAGTGCCACTGCATGGTGGTTTCTCAATTGTAACCAAATGAACTTGTCAGCCTTCCTCAATTCCTTTCTGCCTGGTTGTCTGATGGAGGGGTTTTAATCAGCTGAAGGTGTTAAAGGATGTGCAGTTTGCTTTAATTCAGAAAGGATTCTATTTATAGTAGGGGATAGTGTCATGTGTGAGGCTTTGAGGTGTCCAGCCCAGCAGTGTGATCAGATGTCCTCCCCTGTACTCCATTGCACTGGTTTTCTGTGGAGATACAAAGTAAAAATCCTAAAAAGCCAACTTATTTTCTGTGGAGATAAAGCTAAAAATCCATCTCATGTTAGTCCTTTGTGGTTTGCAGGTGTAAATAATTTGCTCTGAATCATTGTATATCCTACTGACAAATTCTGATAAATTCAGGGGGCTTTCCCTGTCTGCGGAAAGAGTTTGGAATGAGATGATCTTAGAGGTCTCTTTCAACCCAGACCACTGAGTGATTTTAGGAAATTTGTGCAGCTCCTGGGGTTTAGTTCTTCAAGCACCATGTGTTGACTTATTTTTTGAGCCTGAAGGTGCATGACCTGGTAGAACTGTAGATGTGCTGCTGTGTAAAAGCTGCTGCTCAGGCAGTGCCAGAGCAAAGGTGTGACAGAAGCAACGTGTACCTGAGAATCAGGAGGTGTGGGGTTTGTTTTGAACAAACTCACCGAGGGAAGCAAGAATTCTTGATTTGGTTGTGAATAATAATCTCAAACTGTTTCTGTAAAAGGTTCCTGAATGAAATATGACAATGTCATTAGGGTTAACGACCTCCCAGGAGCAGCAGAGCCTGGAAAACCCACTGGTGCTCTTAATTTCAACCCCCAGAACTAAATAAAACCAAGGAGGGCTGTTAACTGGAAGCTCAAGCCGAGTTTACAGGCTGCACATGGATTCTTTGGGAACATTGTATTGGAAGTCCACAGCAAATGCTGCAAACCTCCCAGCGAAGGCACTGGAAAAGTGCCAAGGAAAGTTGGCATGGCTTAACAGCAGGATAATGGGAGTCATTAAAGCAAGAAGGCATCGTTCAAATAGCTGACAGAATAGGCAAGTGAGGAAGCTCAGGAAGTGAGTTAAACCTAAAAACCAGAATGAAGCCAACCCAAAAGAGAGTTTTTCAATCTTGCAACAGGCATTAAAAGAATAATTCCTTCCTCACACTTGCCTCCAGCCAAAGGAATCCGCAGGGCTAGTGGGTGATCAGGTTACAAAAGGAGTTTCCAGCCAGAGCGAGAAAAGGAAATGCAAGTTGTGCCTTGGTGTTTGATGTGGTGACTGTGCCAAGATTCTCCTTCCTGGGGAGCTCGCTGCAGAGTGGATCATACTGAGGGGAGCTCATGGATGCAATAGTGGGAGCAGTTCAAATAAGCAGTAATTGCCAGCACCAAAGATCAGTCATTCAAAAACTCTGAAGGAAGTTAAAGGGGAGCAGCTAGATCAGCATCTGTGGCTCTTAGGCTCCTGCTAAATGCTGTGCTGGAGCCCTGTACCTTGAAGGCAGGGAATGTGGGAATAACTGTAAAAAAAATGTTCCAGGGAGAGATTGAGGCCAGCTATAAATGAGTAAGTTTGTGTTGTGAGATTCAGTAGATTCTGCTTCAGAGAAAAAAATCAGTGGGTTCATCCATGACTAGGCTGTAATGGGGAAGAGTGGACTTGGATTTCTGTTTTTTAAAGGAAGCAGTGGGCCTGGAGGGCATTACTAGCCATGTCTGACAATCCTATAGGGGTGGCTGGCCTGCCCAAGAAACCTTAAATGTTGATAATTTGGCAAAGCAGAGGTTGTATCCCAAACCAGTTTCCTCTTTGTCCTCCCAATTACAGTCAGCAGTGGAAAAGTTGAGGTTGGATCAAAGAGGGGACATTTGTATGTGGTTGGAGGGGAAGAACTACAAAAGAACTTCTGGCCCTGCCATCTTACCTGCTAACAGGGGTTTTGGTCCACTACAGCTGCAAAAGCCCTTTTTGTAGGGTTTTGACTGTGAAAATAAGACAGAAGTCAGCCTGCTGTGGTTTAGGCTGTGGTTTACCTGTTTCATGGATACTCTGCCCTCTGCCCCAAGAAAGCATCTCAAAAAGCACATCTTAGGTGATGCTGGAAGGGGCAACAGGTATCCCTAAGGAGGGGAGTGACAAAGTAGGGTAGAGCAGTTTGGGCTGTAGAATAGAGCCCTTGTCCGAGTGGGACATCGGTGCCATGAGAAATGTGTGCAAATCTTTCCTGGAATGTAAGAGCTGTTCTTGGTATGACAGGATGGTTCTGGCAAGGAATGTTTTGTCACTTTGATTATTCCAAAGTGAGAGAAGTGGGAAGATAGAGAAGTTCTGGAAAGCAAATAGGGGGAAGCTGTTCATGCTTAGTGCCAAGATTTTTGAGTCACCTGAAATACATTCTCATGTGTGAGAGACTTCAAAATTCTCCTCTTTTAAAGTCTTGCCTGGAAAATCTGATTTTGACCTCGACAGGTTAATTTGGAATGTGTTGGAGTGGCAAGCAGTGATGCTGATCTGCATTTTTGTTTCCCCACAGCATCAGCGACAGCAGCAGCTCGCAGGGGCTGTCGCAGCCCTCCACGCAGACGACGCAGTACCTGCGGGCTGACACGCCCAACAACGCCACGCCAGTAACCAGTAAGTGTTAGTCTAAGCACAGACCCTCCTGCCACCCTGCTTTGGTGGCAAGTGCAAGAGAAGAACACCAAGAATTCTCTGGCTCTGTCACTTTGCTTCTTGAATTCACACAGCGCGTGTTTGATCCAGCCACGCCGTAGTCAGGAGTGAGTTCGGGGGGATGTGAGGGGTATGAGCATGAGACTCTGTTTGTCCCTTGGTTTGTTCAGAGCAGTCAGCCAGCCAGGCTTCACCAGTAGCTGTGAAGTACCTGTGTTTTACACTGGGAAGAGCCTGTCTCCTGCAGTCCAAGCAGAGGAGAGAGAACAGGATGTATCCACCCAGCCCTGGGATCAGTTACCAAAGCAGGTGATGCCACGTGCATGAATGCTGATGGTTGTGTTATTCTTGTCATCTCCTGTTGCTTACATCTTTGCTTGAAGTGATACAAAACAGCTGAAGAGAGCAGTGAGAGGAAAGGAAGGGTGGCAGCAGTTTAGATACTGACCTGGTAACTGGTACCACAGAATCACAGAATATCGCAGCTGGAAGGGACCCACAGGGATCATCCAGTCCAACTCCTGGCTCTGCACAGACACCCCAACAATCTCAGCATGTGCATCTCTGAGATTGTTGTCCAAATGCTCCTGGAGCTATGGCAGCCCTGGGGCAGTGCCCATTCCCTGGGGAGCTTGGGCAGTGCCCAGCACCCTCTGAGGGAAGAACCTTCCCCTGGTATCCAACCTAAACTCCCCCGACACAGCTCCAGCTGTTCCCTGGGATCCTCCTGTCCCTGGTCACAGAGAGAAGAGCTCAGAGCTGTCCCTTGGGAGGAGCTGTAGACTGGGATCAGGTCTCTCAGTTTCCTCCTAGTTGAGCAGACCAAGTGCTCTCAGCTGTATTCTGAGTTAATTCTGTAGTTAAGGATGTATTTATTACCTGTGGAATTTTTACTCCTCAAATTATTGTGTGGTGGAGGGCTATCCCAGCCAGCCCTGCTCCAGGGAAGGGACTGTTGCAGCTGGAGGGAAGGTGACCAGTATAGGCACACCCATGGGGTTTTTTTTAAACCAACTAATAAGACCCCAAAGTCTCTTCCATTGTCCTCTGATGGCATTTGGTGATAGTGACTGGGCCATCATGAGGGAGCACATCACAAAGATCATCATTACTCTCAGCCCTCCTTTTTATCTCCCCATGCGTAGAAGCAGTTGTTTCCCTGAGGCTGAACTGCACCTCTGGGAGACATTTGGGACTCACTTCTAAATTGTACTGTATTTTCCTGTTCTGGGTTGTCCCTTAAAAAAAAACCCAACCAAAAAAACACCCAAAAATCTTATTTGTCATCTGAGTTCATCTTTCCCTTGCTAAAAGCTGCCTTTAAAATGTATTTGGTATAAGCATTCATTTAAAAACAGGCTTGTAAAAATTTAATGTATGAAATGTTAAAAAAATTCCTTTTTACAGAATTTGGAAGACTTATCCTGAAAATTATTCTAGAGCTGGTTTCCCTCTTGTCACCTGAGTCCCTTCCCAGCCTTTTATTTTTCTATCTCTTAGAATCACAGAATCATTTAGGTTGGAAAAGCCCTCCCAGATCATTAAGTTCAGCTGTTCCCTCAGCATGTCCCCAGGTGCCACATGGCTTTTAACTTTCTCCAGGGGTGGGGTCTCCACTAGCTGGGCAGCTGTGCCAGGGCTGGACAATGCTTTGGGAAGTGGAATTTTCCCTCATGATCAATCTGAACCTTCCATGGCACAGTTTGAGGTCGTTTCCCCTTGTCCTGTCCCTGTTCCCTGGGAGCAGAGCCCAAACCCCCTCAGCTGTCCCCTCCTGTCAGGAGTTGTGCAGAGCCACAAGGTTCCCCTGAGCCTCCTTTTCTCCAGGCTGAGCCCCTTTCCAGCTCCCTCAGCCTCTCCTGGTGCTCCAGCCCCTTCCCCAGATTTGTTCCCTTCCCTGGACATGTTCCAGCCCCTCTGTGTCTTATCCCAGCTCAGGCTGAGCTGCTGATGTCCTGTCAACCTCAGGCTTTTTATCTGGTTTTTCAAACAAAACTATTTTATTAATTTTGCTGAGTTCCAGTTGCTGGAATGTTGTCCTCCAGAATCCTCTGGCCAAGGGCAGGGGACCAAGTCCAGGGTGGTGCTTCAGCCCTCCTGACCCTGCCCGGTGTGGTGGCCACTGTGCCCAAGTGGCACCTGTTTGCTGGGGGCAGCCCTTGCTTCACAGTGTCTCTTACCTGCTTTGAGACACCCCCAGTAGCACTGAAAATGGTGAAAATTAGGAGAAGAAATTAAAAGGTTGGATGTGTGAAAAAAGCAGGATTGACATTCTTCATAATTTCACAGTTGCATAATTTTGTTTTCAGTAGCATTTACATTTTGAAGAAAGTATTATCAGGGTAATTCTCTAGATTTCTCTAATAATTCACGCACATGTACAAAAATATTCCAGGTTTTCTGACTCTCCTGTTGTATCCAGATATCTGGAAGTGCCAGAAGAGGGCACTGGTAATTTATTAATGTCCTGCTGGTGTAGGGCATCTTCCCAGCTCTGAGTTTTCCAGCAGTCTATTTCCTCCTCATGAGGGCAGTGCAGTGTTGATCACCTTCAGTACAGGAGTTTCCTTCACCCGGAGTGAATAATAAAAGTTGTTTGCATGACACTACAGAGAATTTCTGTGTAATTTCTTTCCCTGCAGATGATTATTCTTGTATTTTTCATTGCTAAATACTATCATCTTTTTTAAATGAATATATCAGATATTTATGATGGTGCTGCTCCCTTGTGTGTGGAGCCATAGGTGGTCAGAGGTGAAGCCCTATGCCTGTTCTCATTCCAAGGGTATTTATGTTGGATTGTTTGGCTCTGCTGGCTCCTCAGGTTATCCCACATTACGGATAGAGAAGAATGATCTGAAAAGTGTCACTCTTATGGAGGCTAAAGCTAAAGTGAAGGACATAGCCATCTCCAGGGAGAGGATCACCCTCAAAGACGTGCTCCAAGAAGGTATTTACAGCACTCAGACACTTCATTCCTACATGCTGTAGATATATAAATACAAATATATGGAAATTTATTTACAGACTTTTCTGAAAGCATTCACGGATGGTGTTTCTGATCTTCATAGCTTTGGTGGATGGGAGGAATGATGAGCTATGTTTGCATTTGGGGTGTGGGGGTGGGGAAAGTAGCTTCCAGAATTAATTAGGCTGTGGGAGCAACCAGGCGTGCTCATTAAGTCATTGAGCTTGCCTGTCGTAATAACCTGCTCCCTGAAATGATGGGTGACTGAGGGGAAGGGTAATCACTCCAGATTCAGTGCCAAGGTAACTCACTTTTGGGAGTTCCTACAGGACAGCTGCTCTTAACAGCATAAAAATCAAAACAAAACCAACCTAAAGCCCAGAAAGACTTCAGTTGTCCAAATTTGATGTCTCAGTTTGATAACTTTGCTTTAGAAATCTAATTGGCAGATGCAACATTTACAGCCCTGATATAAAGGATTCAGAGACTACCTGGTTGTTTTCATGGAATATCCTGAGTTGGAAGGACCACAGGGATCATCCAGTTCATGAATTGTTCACTCTTTGTTTACTGTGCACTTTGAAAGTGTTCATGCATAACATTAATTGATTCTTGTTGACACTGAATTTGGAAAATAGGCTTAAATATTTAGTTTTCTTTGTCATTCACCTTTATTGCTGCAATTTAAAGTCTCTGTTTCATGAGAAATCAAACTTCCTGAAGCTGGAGATTGGAGACAATCATCCTTTGGAGGCAGAATGCTTTGTATTAGTCTGAGCAGCAGTGGAGGATGTTCCCATTCTTGTTCAGTGTGTGCCTCTGAAACTCTGGGGTGGCAGCTCCGTGCTCACTTCCAGTGTGAGCTCTGCAAAAGCCTTCCTTGGCATGTGGGATGTGCTTTGTGCTCCTCTGGACTGCCTGGGGCTGGGATGTTGGGAGTCACCCATGACTAGAAGTGACTCAGTGCCCCAGCAACACTTCAGATGTTTGGTGGCAGAGCTGCCCTGTTCTGCCAGAATGAGGCATAAGGAGCTGTTGAATGCAGTTTGGACCCAGTCAATCCTGAGATCTTGTTTCTTAGCCTCCAGCTGTTACTTTGAGTCAGAACCTTCAAAAGTTAAGCACAGAGTCGTTGAGGTTAGAAAAGCCCTTTGAGGTCATCGAGTCCAAACACTCCCCAAGCAATGCCAATTTCACTTACGTCCCCAAGTGGCACATCCCCATGTCACAGGACTTAGAAGACCTGGCCAGTTTTATTTCAGGATCATAGTGGTGTTGAGTCTCTGCCATTGAAGAACAAAAGAGCTTCAGTGGGGAAGAAGGGGATAAAGTAAACGCATGCATGGAACTTTTTTTACAGATCTTGGCCACAGATTCATTATAAACTTCACGTAGCTTCCATAACTTCACCTGCTTTTACATTTTGGAAATATATACTTAGGCACTTTCTAGAAGTCTTCAAGAACCAAGACAGGAGGAATTTAGTTGCTGTTAAGTAATTCAGGGTGTTGTAGTTGCCTGAGAGTCTCCTAAGTTCAGCTGGTGCTTAGTGAAATCGCAATTTGAAGACCCCTGTCATGCAGGGCTTCCTTGCAGCCCCAGGGTAGGTGACAGAAGTGTTGCACTGCCCCTGTTGAAGGTATTTAGAAACAAATAAGACCTCTATTTCATACTGTGAAAGATGTTTCAGCCTAGTCAGGCAGGGGGAATCCTTGGGAAGGGTCTGTTATTTTGGAATAGACTCTGTGGAGATGATGCACACCTTGGTGCAGAAAAGTGTTGCCAAGGTGAGCAGTAAAAACCAATTAAATCTCTGTGTGTTATCAGTTGTTCTCAGCCCAGCTTCTCAGAGTGGCTTCTCCTTCTGCAGTAGCATCAGGAACAGCTTGTGAATGGAAAAATGCTGGAGAGTCTGAATGACCCCCAAACAAACCCAGCACCTTCCAGCTGAGGTGAAACTTGTGAATAATGGGATGCTGGCTGTTTCCCTGTGTGCTGGCTAGCCAGAATTGCTGTTTCCTTGTGAATTAAGAACTGGAGTTCTTAATGCAGGGAGTTGACTGAAGTGCTACAAATAAACCCATCATCATGTTGATATTTAATTTCACTGGGCTCTGCTGCTACCACTAGTTCACTCTCATGCTTTTCCCCTTGAGTTTTATTTATGTAAAACTTCAGCATTGCTGCCTGTAGTTGTGAATCCCCCTCATGCTGGAGAACAGTTGGGTTCTCACTTGGTGACTTTATAGGGTTTGGAGACACTTTAACTGCAGGCATTCCTCCCTTTCTGGTGTGAAAGGTACTGTTTGCTTAAGATACTCCTAATGTTATCAGTGGTTCTTAACCACATTTTACTGATTGGATGTTCTCTTCCTAGGCACGTTTGGGCGCATTTTCCATGGAATTCTAATAGAAGAAAAAGACCCCAGTAAAGAGAAACAAGTTTTTGTCAAAACCGTTAAAGGTATGTTTGCATGAAGGAGCGGGTTTGTGTGCAGGTGTTCGAACCGTGCTGCAGGCTGAGGGTGCCAAACCTGGCTTTACAACAACCCCCTTCTCCCCAAAATATGTAAATGATGAAAAGCAAAGGCAGCTGGGATGCCACAGAGAACAGCAATCTTATATGGAAGAAAAATGCATGTGTTCTCCACCAGTGCCTCCAGTCATCACCCTTGAATACTTCTGTTTGTTATTCTTCTAAGTAAAAAATTATATTGTTTTTTTTTCTCCAGAATGACATTGTCTTCCCAGTCAGAGCCTTGTCCCCTGCAAAGCCTTGTCCCCTACAAATTGCTGAAATGTATCTTAAAAACCCTTTACAAATACATGGCTGTTCAAAAGACAGGGCATAGTTTCTGCCTTCCTTAAGCTTTGCAACTGAAGTGTGAGAACTGGCATTTAGAACTGAATTTATCCAAATACAGCACCTGTGTTCAGGAAATACCTTGAAATGGGGGCAGTAGACTTAAGGAGCAAGGTTGGGTGTATGTGAAAAAATTGTAAATGTCCTACATGTCTGTCACATGTATTCCATGTGTATATTACAAGTATCCTACATGTATCGTTATTTTTAATGTAGCCAACATCTATCCCTTCCTCTGCAATCATCACAAGTTCTCTTTTTTGTCAAATTCCCAGTACAGTGGTTGTTTTACCACTTATTCACTTATTTTTGTCATTTCAGTTGGGTGTCTCATTGCCTTTGGTTTTTCATTTGGCAATTCCTTTAATTTTTTTCTTGCAAAAAAAAAATAAGCATCTATAATAATTTCAACTCTCAATTCCCTCTCCAGCTCTCCTGGAGCCCCTTGTGGGGGCTCTAAGTTCTCCCTGGTGCCTTCTCTTCTCCAGGTGAACACCCCCTGTTCTCCCAGCCGGGCTTCTCTTATTTAAAAACCAAAAAATTTGCTTCTTTCCAGTATTTTGGGAACAGTTTCTGAATTCTGCCCTCTTCTGTTCCCTTTCCCTGCCAAACAGTTCTATCTTTTGTTATTTTCTTGGCTCTTATTTAATAATAGTTCTGAAAAACGTAGCCCTTGGCACGTGAGCTACTTTTTATAGCATTGGATTAAACAACATAACATTTGTCAAAAGTGATCTTAATTTAGCTGCCTCCCATGACCTCTTATTGAATTGCTTTTCCAAAATGGGACTTCCAATGCACTCCTAAATCCATACTTGTCCCTTACAGTGGCTTGTGTCTGTGACACATTTGTGTCCTATAGGAATAAGCTCTTCCCTTTGCAGGGAGGGACTCACTGCAGTGAACTGGAGCGTGGTCCTCAGGGAGTGATGGCATTTGTAGGGTCACTGTAGAGAATTTCCCAGCATTAAAAAGGACCTGTGTGTAAAAAGTGTAGAGTAGGTTTTGCTGATACTTGGGCTTGGGCAGCAGAATTTTGCAAGGAAAAGAACCTGTAACATCCCCTCATCCCCTCCTCACAGCAGCTCACTTGCAGTGCTGATGTTACTCAGCTTCATTTTCACATCCGGGCTGTGATTGCTCTGTGTGTGGCTGGGACATGTAATAAGTTGGGAATTGGATCTGGTTGGAAGAAAAAACCTGCAAAAATTCTCCTGTAACCAGAGTTTTTCCTTGATCTCAGTCATTCTGTGGCCACACACACACTGCTGTTCTGGCACAAGCAGAAGCAGGGGAGGACCATAAAATCTTGATGGGTATGAGAACCATTAAACTGACTTAAGTATCTCTCTGCTGAAGGCAATAAAGCCTGAGGGTCATGGAAAATAGACACTTTGTCTGTGGAGTTAAATTATCCCTTCCCAAAAGTGTGAGCTGCTCCAGAACTGCCTTGTTTAACCCAGAGGTGCACTCTGAAAGTGATAAAATGAAGTCCAGTGATGCCCCAAATGTCTGGAAACAATGGGGAGTGGGGGTGGAGTATCCCAGATCTTTGGAAAATGTGCAGTGAGGTTCTTTGAGTAGGTACTGTGAGGAAGAATAACCTCCTTGAGAGAAAAGACACTTCTTTTTTCTCACCAGGATCAGTGCTTAAGAAACTGAAGGGGATTTGTTACGGCTTTAAACCTGGAATTTCAAGAGAATCCTAGAATCCCAGAATGGTTTAGGTTGGACAGGACCTTAAAGCCCATCTGTTCCCACCCCTGCCATGGGCAGGAACACCTTCCACTATTCCAGGTTGCTCCAAGCCTTGTTCAACCTGGCCTTGAACACTTCCAAGAATCCAGGGGCAGCCACAGCTTTTCTGGGCAGCCTGTGCTAGTGTCTGACCTCACAGGGAAGAATAAATAAATAAATTTTAAAATATTGTCTTCCTTTTGTCAAATGTAAATCTGTCCTTTTCCTGTTTAACATTGCCCCTTGTCCTGTCCCTGCAAGCAGTGATCAAAAGTCTGTTTCAGTCTTTCTTACAATCCACAAGCCACAGAAAGGTGTCCTTGGAAAATTTTCTTCTCTAGGCTGAACCTCCCCAGCCCAACAAGTATTACATATTGGCTTAGAGCTTGGATTTGTTGGCTGTTAGAAGAGCTCTGTGCCATGTGGGCAGGTGTCAAGGCTGTGCTGTTCAAGGAGTGGTTTCTGAATGAAAATCCATGAAGAAAAGTCATGCCCTAAGTGCCTGTCATAATGAATCTCTTTTCATGTGCCCCTCCTTCAGCTGTCAGTGTACTACAGCATCCATACCCTTTTAAGAGGGGTTATTTCCAATAATGTGGACGGGGGAATGTGCTGCCAGTTTTCCCATTCCTTGTGCTGGGCAAGGTGAGTTGTGGCTGTTGTCCTCATCAGGCAATAGTTATATCTGTGGGCATTTCCTGCTCTGGAGGGAGAGTGGCTGCAGCCTTGTCATTTTGTCTCTTCCCTGTATTCTTTCCCCGTGGTTAATTGTTGCCCCCAAAGGATCAAAAGCAACAGGTAGTTGACTGCAGTAACTGCAGCAGCCCTTCCCACTTCCCTGATGTTTCCCAGTGCTCCAGTGAGATGCAGAGCATTGCTATAAACCAGGAGAGTGAAAACAGGATCCCTGATTTCTCTGAACTTTGTGTTTGTTCCCCTTCTGAAGTGATCTGCTCTTAAAGAAGTCAGTAATACACAAAAACTGAGAGAGCCTGGACCTGCCTGAGAAGTGGAAGAGCCCATCCAGAGAGTTTCCTGAAATCTTCTGTATTCCCTGTTGTCTCAAACTAGGGTAGAACTATTAGGTCAGATTCTCAAATAGCAAGTTTGAGCCTGATTAGGCAGTATCAGTGCAGGGATTGAATAGGTTGGAGGGTGCTTGTTCAGCATGATCTGACTGGTTTCTCATCCACTACAGAATTTGGGGTCTTTCTTTTGAACACTTCATGAAGTTATTGAAGTACCTTGGAAGTGATTCAGTGATTACTTGTTCTGTAGCTCTTAAATTGATGTGGTGTAAAAGTTGGAGATGCTTCTCTTGAAGTCTCAACGCCACATCTCTTATAAAGACTGACAGGAGGATTCATCCCTGGGTTTTACTCCAGATGCTTAAAGGAGTTTTTTCTTTCATGGAGTTTTATTTCACTCCAGGGAGAAAGTTGTAACATGCCCATGGCAGTGACAAAGTTTCTACATGCAGGTTCATGAAATAGATGAGTTTATAATGTTTTTTTGATGCTGTATCATTTGTGTCTGGGTGCCTGAGCCTTCTGATATGAGCAGTGCCTTGTGCCAAGGAGAGCTTAAAAGGAAAATGGATCTTTCCTGGATTTCTGGAAGCTCTAATAACTTCAGGCTGCAAAGATCCCAAGCTCTGGGGAAAAGGTGTGACTTATTCAGGCTGTCCTACATCCTTCATGTTGGCCATACAGTTGTGTTATCTTTGCAGTTTAAACTTCCACTGTGTTTATTTGCTAGGCAAGGTGCTCAAAGTCATAGTTATTTTCACCCTTAGACATTTCAGTGGAAAATTTGCCTTCGTTCCGTCTTCAAGCAGACACTGATGAAGATTGAGGATGTGTGTCATTGCCAGCAAGAACAAGAATATGTTATCTAGAATATCTGGGATTTTGGAATCTTTGGATCAACACAACCTGAACAAGTTCTTTGTTAGAAAGATGAGAGACTTAGCTGGCATTTGCTTTCTTTGTTGTGTTTTTTTGTTTTACAGAAAAATTGTGTTATGAGGGTGGAATGCTTCACTTTCCAACCAGAGGTTTCCAATTCCTCTCAGTTTTGGGAAGTGTCTCTGATGGCATGTTTCTCCAAGCTGGCATTACATCTCTTTACAGGGTTGAACAGATCCCTCCAGCCTTTCTGGGGAATCTTTTAAATCATCTGATGTCAGAGGAGGAAGAAAACACACAGGTTTCACCTTTGATTTAAAGAACACTTTGTTTAATGGTGCTTTTCCTGTGAAGGAGAAAATTCTTAGCAAAACAAATGGAATTGTGTTATTCCAGGAACATATGAAGTGAGGGTGAGCTGTGCAGAGGCCTGACTCATTTAGGATGTTCTGGCCAAGGTACACTTTTGGTAAAAACAACGCAGTGTGCTGTTCAAGATAACCCGGCTGCTCCCATTTCATGTTCTAACCACTTAACATTTTTCTGATGTACAAGGAAGGAGTGTTTGGAAACAAACTATCCATGGAAAGCACTGGAAATAAAGTCAGTGTTGACAAAGGTCAGCTCTTTAAACTTCATTGTTCTACCAACTTTTAATAATGCTTTAGTTCTGTCATCTTAGGTCACTAAAAGACTTTCAGCATTCTTGGCTATCTCTGTCATTTTACTATTTAGAGTTTTTACATTTATTGCTAGTCTAGTTAAGAGGAGATGCCCCATTCCTGGGAGTGCTCAGGCCAGGTTGGACAGGACTTGGAGCATCGTGATCCAGTGGAAGGTGTCCTTGCCCATGGCAGGAGATGGAGCGAGATGAGCTTTAAGGTCCCTTCCAACCCAAACCATTCAATGATTGCAAGCTTGGTGACCTTTTAGGACTTCATGCAGTTGGGAACTGTA